TGTCTGCGGTTAACCGCAATGTTCTAATTGGGATCAAGAGGTTAACCTGCAGCACACTTCTCTTCTGGGTGGCCGTCCGTTCAGTAGTTTTGTTTGGTGGAAAAGTCAGTTCACTGAACAGGGGCATACGAACGGGTAATTCCACGAAAAGGCAAAACAGACGAACCAGCAATCTTAGTCTATTCAGATGGATCTGTCACACAGGTTTTATGGTGTCTTGGAAAGTTACAGGGTTAAATATAGTGCTAGAAAATTAAATTCCCTGAACTTTCGGCCTGGGTTGTCAGGCAGGTCCTGCAAATTGTAATTAATAAAATAACCTAATTATGTAAATGTATTACTTAAATATATACATAGAATTATTATATATATATATATATATATATGTGTGTATATATATATATATATATATATATATATATATATATATATATATATATATATATAATAATTCTATTTATATGTATATAATTTTTTTATTATTTTTATTTATATATAGATATATATAAATATATATATATATATATACTTATGTATATAGATATATATATTATTTCATTCTACATGTATTTTGATATCAATATATATATATTAATTTTAAAATACAGTTAGAACGAAATTATGCATGTATACATATTTATTATCTATTTACTTTTTATTATTTTTTTATTTTTTAACGTATTTATATATTTATTCATTTATTTATTTATTTATTATTATATATAGATATATATAATGGAAATTATATATATTTAATCAATATCATTGTACGTGTATTTTGATATTAATATATATATATATAATTATGTATGTATATTTATGTGTATGTGTGTAAATGTGTATATATATATACTTAGATCATATATATATAATAAATATATATATGATCTAAGTATATATTATTTAATTTTACAATGTTTTAACATGTTTTGTTTTATTTTCAGGCAGCATGGGGAGTACCTGTCATTACAGGCCCTACCCCTGCTGGCAATGCCTTGGACGGCTATGCCGTCCATGTGATCATGAGGTCCTCGCAAGGACCTCGCGATCACATGACCCAGGGGGGCCGAAGAGGACAGAGGTAAGTCCCCTTACCGCGATCGCCGGCGACTGGGTAAGTACAAAAGATCGCAGGGCGTTCTATGCCGCCCTGCGGCATTTAGAGCCATCTAAATAAGGACGGCATAGAACTCCCTGCGGTCTTAAGGGGTTAAACCTTCGATTGTATTTATTTTGTTGTGGTAATATTCCAAATTAACTGTGCATAATAATTGACGTTTCGGCTCGTTCGAGCCTTTTTTAAGATCACAGTGTAGGTATGCAAACAAGTGTTTATAAAGCATTACAAATATTAAAACTTATTAGAGTTGAGCGAACCCGAACTGAAAAGTTCAGAACATTAAGTTTTTTGGACCCCGGACCTGACCACGGACATATTACTATATGTTCGGGTTGGAGTTCGGAGTTTGGCAATTTAATGATGCTTTTTGAAAGGCTGCAGGGCAGCCAATAAACAAGCGTTTGACTCGTGTGCCCTTAGAAGCCATCACAGCCATGCCTACTAATGGCATGGCTGTGATTGGTCAGTGCAGCAAGTGACCCAGCCTCTATAGAAGCTGGTCGCTTAATATTAGTAAATTATGCCCCTACTCGCTATACCACGAGTAGGGGGCGTGTCTATTAAACAGTGAGCAGCCACATTCCCCCCTCCTGAGCCTCCACCCGCGACGTGCGAGTGGGGGCTTGTAAACTAAAGGGGGGCCTATTGCCCCCTTGGCCCCCACCCCTGAGCGGTGGGTGGGGGCCATAAATAAAAAATCGGGGTGGACCTAACGTCCTTCTCCTGACCCCCACCCCTGAGTGGTGGGTGGGGGCCATAAATAACAATAAGGGGGGGGGACCTAAAGTCCTCCCCCCAGCCCCTACCCCTGAGTGGTGGATGGGGTCCATAAATAAAAATCCCCCCCAGGTGACTAGGGGTCCCCAAACCCCTACTCACTAACCCCTACCCACCCATAATAATAATAATCCATCTTCACACATGGAGGGCTCCGCACAGACTGAGCGCTGCAGGGTGGGGGAAGGCTTATAAGGGGTTTTGGAACCCCCTAGTCACCTGGGGGGATTTTTATTTATGGCCCCCAGCTACCGCTCAGGGGTGGGGCCATGGGGGAGGACATTAGGTCTCCCCCTTATTGTTATTTAGGGCCCCCACTTGCCGCGCAGGGGTGGGGGATGGGGGGGTGGACAGTAGGTCCCCCCCTTATTGTTATTTAGGGCCCCCACCCATCACACAGGGCCCCCACATATTTATTTAATACAATGTTAAACAAAAATATGTACACCAGTCAAGCCATAAGACTTGCTTTTCCCACAGAAATTACAAATTTACTGTGATGTTAACACTGCAAAGGATTCTGGGTGGGCTTATGCAAGTTAGTTTAACAAAGAATCACACTTTTGCCTCATTCCATTTTATATATATATATATATATATATATATATAATTACTCAGAAATATATATATATTTCTGAGTAATCATTCCTACACAAAATAGTTTAAACAGGTGGAATGCAGTGGATCTGTAAAGATTGACCAGTGCTCACTAGTCCACTAGAATGAACTTTATATACTTGCCAGTGGATGATATACATCTAAGGTATTGGCATATCTATGGTTTCAAACAAAATAAGGAGGCACACAAGCCTTACATATAATGTTTTAAAGAGCTACAGGACAATTGCTTTTAAAGGCCAGTTACAGGGAATACATTAATGTGTAGTGCATAATGGCACCAATGAATGGCCTATGCTCATGTCATGGCATTACCTCAAACTGCACTTTCAAAGCCTACATGTAGCAATAAACTGTTCCCAAAGCTAGTTATCAGGCAAATCTTTGGAACAGTATCATAAAATAGAAGTCCTGCCCAGCCTATGCAACCCAAATGTAGGCCTGCAAATCTTTAAACAATCCCTCTCCAAATGAAAGTGCTGCTTTTGATAAAGTCCTTAGGGAAACGACTGCCACCTGTCAGGTTTATTGCTGATCAAAGGCACTTCTAGGCTAAATCCTGTCTCCTGTTAAACTAAAAAGATAATGATTAAAAAAAGGACAGAACATCCAAGCAGGAAGAAGGCTAAGAGCAGTGAAAAAAAGCAGATAAAATGGCTCTTATTAAGAGGACTTCATGAAACCAAAAAGATAATCATCTAATATCCAAAGATGTTTTGACATATCCCATATAATGCCTTTAATGCCAATAATTCCTGTCAGACAGACAGGAATATGGAGCTTTGTTTTCTGTGGGTCATTAAATTTAGAATTTTCAAACAATGTAATAAAATAAATCAATAAATAAACTAAACTGAATAGGTGATGCCCAGGTGTTTAAATTGTTACATTAAGGTTTTCCTACATTCTTTTATCGTTCTCTAGTTGTTATAGAAACCATCTACAGATCTGATAAAAGGATGACACTAACTAATGATCAAAGTTGAGTTACAGCAAGGACGGAATGAACAAACCCTCAGCTTGCATTACAAATCCCAAATCATTGTCCTCATTACATCTAAAAAATGTCAGTCCCTTTAATAATAGATCCTCAAATACACAAGTTAATGCTTATCTGAATGATATGCCCACTGATAAATTAAAGTTAGAAACTGCTGCAATTGCAATCTGCTAATGTGGAATAATTTCAAAAATAAAATCTACCTGATACATACACTATGTAGTGATCTGTACACTTTGGGGCATTATTAAAGAGACACATTTAAATTCTAGATTACAGCTAATTAAATATCTGGGTGTCCAGGGTATAAACCACAAGTGTGTGCCTTGGCCTCTAGGACTGATGATGGTCTCTCTTTTGTTCAGAGGAAGAAACCTGCTGTTTGACTGGTGCATTATATAAGAGCCATTTCCTTCCAAATAACTTGCCCCACCCTTCCTTGTTTAGCTGCTCTCTAAATATATATTGAAAATATTAGGTCAGACAGTGTATGTGCATATTCTTCTCACAGCATTTAATTACAGCATGAGCAATAGGAAATGTACAGCACTCGATGGAAACCGCATATAGGGGATTTTAAAAACAATTTCCAGCATATTTTATTTAGGTTTGCAATAACCTACATGGATTTCTGAGTGGTATATGAAAATGAAAAGAAAGAGTCATCAGTGATCATTTTCTGAAAAAATATGATTTATTCAAACTGCATAAAATGACCACTACTCATCCATTATACTTAATAGGAGTTTATTCCCCCCCCTTGCATTTCCCTTCTAAAGCACAATAACAAGAGCATTAATAATATGAGGTCTCTGTAATAAGACACATATTACGCACTGCAAACGTCTATGGTTTAACCCTGGAGGGTTTAGCAGCAAGAACTTTGTTGGCAATTATCTGTGAGCTATTTTGGTTGCATATCTGGTTATCACACATGATATCCTTGTGCATGGTAGTGCATTCTTGCCTTTGGGCTGGTTGAGCATTATGAGCAATGTATGCCTGGTCTGTCACTAATGTCATGTCATTTACATTCCCTTTATATCTGTCTCCAATCATGTACATGCCCTACATTTCTACTACTAACACATAAAGCACTTTTAAGCTAATATCCAAGAGTTAAACTATATATGTCCTTACAAATGGCTACATTACTCCTTTGGAATGTTTTTTTTTTATCATTTAGCTAATGGGTACAGTATCTAACAATTTCACAGAGCTGGAACAACAATTCTACTTATTACTTCCAAAGCTGTGATATCTGCTTTTTCAAGATGTAGACACATTATGACTTAACCATATCAGTATCAAATTGCTGAGGAGAAAACAAACTATCTCTTTTCATAGCCACCTGATACTTCAAGGGTTAACTATTTTTAATATAGGTCCACCTATGTCCAAGGGAAATGTAAGTTAATCTCCTGTAGCCCAGCAGTTAAAATAATTGACGAGCTTCCACTGAATCACTGGAGAGGGGAGAGGGGGGTTGGGGAGGTGCTGTTTCCAGCCTTGTAGCGTCAGCATTGCATCAATTTGGTTAGCTGTAGCCTTGTCTGAAGCTGGGGCGGTCAGACAGTCAGAGCAGGAGAGAGCAGGAGGTTAGCTGCAGCCATCATAGGGAGGGAGTAGCTCAACCCATAAACAGAAATATCAGAGCTGCACAGACACATAGTTTTGCATCTGCCATTTTCTGAAGCTGTGCAAGACTAGATGCGGGCAGAGACGTGAATCAGTGCATAGAGACTGCCTTGTTTCAGCACCTTGGACAGAGCACCCAGCAAAATGGCTCCAGTCAGTAGCAGCACTGAAGCTTTTGGTAAGCAAGTTCTCCCCCAAAGTTTAAGGCGTTATCCCTCTGATTGAAATACTTATTGTAGCTGGATATATATGTATATATATGAATAAGATTATTATATATAGATAAGGTGGGGCACCAGGAATGCATGGCTTTTCCAAAATAATATTTTATTTAAAAAAAATGCTATAACTATTTTTTTTATGATGGTTTTGCTCACCCTATGCATCTTATGTTGCACTTGTGATACATTATATCTAAATTGTGCTGATTGATGCAAGTAGATTGTTATATACGCCATCACTAAGTGGCAGGGCTATTGCATGGTTCGTAGATTTCTCTATCACTTAGATACATTGATGCATTTAAGTTTTTAGATAGTGTCTTAAATAAATCATAGATGTCATTGTCACCAAACCTAAAAATTTTTATTTATTTTTTATATATATATATATATATATAAATATAATGTGTGACTTAATGTTTACAGAGTTTTTATATGATGTCTATTTTTCCGGATCTATATATTTTTCAATGATTCACATACATTAAAAACGTGTATTCTGTGTAAAGTAATTATGCCTTTCATCCCTACTTTGATTTCATGAGGTTACTTTAAAGAGTGTATGGAGAATGGAATCATTTGGTAAAGTAAATCACAGCGATTTGGTTACAATATGAACTGAATACATCCCTTGTCCTGTCTGATTTCTGCTTTTTACTTGGCTATGATTCATGGCATATGTATGTGGAGACCTAATGCATTTTAGTCACTGTGACGTCATGCAATCTGAAACACTATAATTAGATTTGCTGAACGTACTGTATATAGAACATTAACTATTGTGCAGGTAGAACATATGCTACGGTTCCATCAAGTTGTCCACCTTGAACTCCATTTAAAATATTCCAAAGCTTTTCTTTTTTCTTTTCTTTTTTAGCTAGTATACTATTGGATTGGATTAAATTATCTAAACTATTAGCTTACATTTGAAATCTTAACATGTCTTTCTTTGTATTGAATGAATGGGTCAATTGTGTCTGTTATGCTAATATATATTGCTGTCTCTGCAAGGACCAACATAAAGACTTGACACTTGTACACGGTGTTCCAAAGAACTTGTGATTGCAATTTAAATGAAGCTTCAGTGACTCATTCTAGAATCCTCACAAAAGCAAATCTTATAATTAACTGGCAACATTTTAGTTGTGTTTAGTTTCCACTTGTTATAATACTTTTAATTGAGGCAGTTGAACAATGTATGAAAAATGTCTTATTCTTGAGATAAGGTCCTACATTTTACTTAGTCATTCCACTTCCATTTGTGTTAATTTATGCAGACAATTACATCATAGATAAAACTATGGATTTAACAATTTCCTGCTTGCTGTGAGTCATTTTTCAGATATAAAATTAAGTCATATAGTACTTAAGATCTGTTAGACATAATTGCATTTTACTGAATCTTTTTCACTCTGGTATATGTGCGACCTTTTAATCTGAATATGCTTAGTTATATCTATATATTACAAGGATATAGTAAGGTTAAGTATTTTAATATTACATTTTAGATATTTAATAATAATAATATATAATTTTGTGATTAAGTCATAAGCACATTCTTGCTATTTCTGCCTTCAATCATTCTTCATTATTGAAGTTTAAATCTGAATATATTACATATTTTATTGAATCCTTTAAACTTAACATATATTGGGTAATACTTAATTAGGAGTGAAGATTTTAAACAACAGCATCCAGTTACATTTCAATACTTACAGGTTTTTACATTGTTTCTTGCGTCATTTTATTGATTAAAATATCTAAATATTTTACCATATTTAACTATTTACATTTGGCACTAATTGCAAGATAATGAACAGTAACCTACACACTCCTAAATTTAATTATTTTATTTAGAACATGTTGGTGATACCAAAAAACAACTCTAGGTGGTGCATTCAATATCTGTGGTGTGTCCAAAATGTAAAAATAAAAAAAAGAAATTGGGGGACAATGCAATGTTTATGTATTTCTACTGGATTAATTCCTCATCGTGGAAAAAATAATATCCAATCTATTTATATACATGTTGTTTCCTTATATCTTAACTGTGTTTTATATATATCATTTTTAGATGAAATCCCTTCAATGGTTGGACTCATAAGTGCATTTGGCCTTGTATTCACAGTGTCTCTATTTTCCTGGATCTGCTGCCAGCGTAAATCAACAAAATCTAACAAAACCCCTCCATATAAGTTTGTCCATGTGTTAAAGGGTGTTGATATATATCCAGAAAATTTAAACAGCAAAAAGAAATTTGGTGCCGATGAAAAAACAGAGTTGTCCCCTAAATCACTAGTCTCAAAATCATCTCTACATCTTGATCTTGAGAAAAGAGACTTAAATGGAAATTTCCCTAAAGCAAACAAAGTTAGAAGTTCTCCAGATCTTGAGGATTTTTCACAACCTCAAATACCAGAAAATGAGAAAGAATCTATATCTCCAGAGAGCATCAAGTCCAGCACATCCTTGTCATCTGTGGACAGGCAAGATAAGCTTGGAACTCTCTTCTTCTCCGTAGAGTATAACTTTGAGAAGAAAGCCTTTGTGGTGAATATAAAAGAAGCCAGATCCCTTCCAGCAATGGATGAACAATCCATGACATCCGATCCATATATAAAAATGACCATCCTTCCTGAGAAAAAGCATAAGGTCAAAACTAGAGTACTCAGGAAAACCCTTGATCCAGCTTTTGACGAGACCTTTACATTTTATGGAATTCCCTACAGTCAGGTCCAAGACTTAGTCCTACACTTTATAATCCTTAGCTTTGACAGATTCTCAAGGGATGATGTTATTGGAGAAGTGCATTTTCCTCTCTCTGGAATCGAATTGTCTGATGGAAGGATATTGTTGAACCGGGAAATAAACAAAAGGAATATCCGGGTAACTCATTTTTATGTTTCCTTATGTATTATTTGTGATGACATTTGTGATTCATTTTCAATTTTTTTATTATTATCATCATTCTGTTTGCTTTTAGATATGGTAACATTCATTAGTACTTTTTATTTCAGAGTGTAAATGAATTTAATGTATTATTTAAGAAAATGTACGACTATATTTAATTCCTTTGAGAATCAAGAAAATGTCTTAAAGTTTACAGTAAACAGAATTCCATAATTATAAGTAAATTAATACTAAACACTATATTATAATGAAACATATATTTGTAATTTATTAACTATACACCATTTATGTTATTTAGTTTCATATACTTATCAGATGGATTTTTACCTTTTAGGGAGAATTTTGCTACAATAGTGCCATACCTGAACTTGTAGGGAGGATTATAAACCCAAATTACTTGCAAATCCCCCTTGTCTATTATCTTGACCACACCCACTGGTATAGCCTCCATCTCCTCAAAAATCACATTAATTTCTGCTGTACATCCTTCATGCAGATACCAACAGATATGGGTAGGGCTGCAAACCCTTCATTCACTAGTCATAACCAAGAACAATTATGTCATTTAATGCCTTTAAGGGGTCTTCTAAACAAGTAAACCATATCATCCACACTAAGGATCTTACCCACTTCTATCTACTTTTTTTGCTCATCCCACCACTGCAATCCATCTCTATACCCATTACATGTAAGCAGTAAGTAATGGCCACCATTCTAAACAGAGGTTTAAATACCTTTATATAGTTAATGAAATCATACTTTACAATTAAGACACCCTTTACACATGTATGCTATTTTGGGTAGGTGTTTTATTTAATATGACAAGTGAGAACATTGTGATATAAATAAACACTAATGGCAGTGCTTCTGTAATGGTTCTCAGTGGTCATTAATGATTCATATGGTGCCATTTAGTAAACTGGAAAGCATCTGTTGTTATAACATAGTGTATTCTTCTTTTAATAAAATGTCTTATACTGGCTTTAGAAATCAGCTGGACGTGGAGAATTGCTGATCTCTCTCTGCTACCAGTCTACAACAAACACTTTAACTGTGGTTGTTCTAAAGGCTCGGCATTTACCAAAAGCTGACATATCAGGATTATCAGGTATGTAAATCTGTTTTATAAATCATCTTTTACGTAGACAAAGAGAAATAATTTCTTCTTATTTTTTGTGTTATACTGACCACTTTGTGACTTACAGTTAATCCAAGAAAATAATATTCCATCAATGCTTCAATGTTGAATAACTTGCAATACATGTAATAATTATAAAAGCGATAGTATTAATGTGTAAAGAAGACATTGTAATTTACAAAAAATAAAATAATGTTGGCCAGATTCAAATATTAAAAAAAAACTAGATAAGAAAAAGTAATCTCAATACTATAAACTTACTAGTGATAGATATATGACTATAAATAAGTGTGATGTTCACAGTTATATTGAACATGACGTGTCCATCACCAAAAAAAACATTTCCAAAAACAGAAATTGTGTACAACCTTATTTAAAATTGTATATTCACATTTGTATGATATTTTTCTATAATAACTTTATATTATAGTTATTGGTGCATGCATATTCATTGAAGGAAAATGTTCCACTAAATTGTATTTAATGTTTACACTTATGTGTATGGGTCATCCTACATATTTTTTTTTTTAATATAAATACATTATAAGAGTGTTTTCATTACCATATTTTTTAAAGTGTTAATTTCAAATGGTAGGCTACAATATGCACGTTTTCTATATTTTCTATATTAGTTGTATTTTGAAATGTCAGTTTAACACACTGTAAGTATGTGTTGTTAGAAAATGCATTCTTATGTTCTGTTAAAAGTCTGTGACCTTGAATTATTAACCCTGCATGCACTTAGTAAAATAATTCATTTATTTTAGTAAAAATAATTGCAATTAGGACTGCTAATAACATCATATTGCCTAACAAATATTTTGTTAATAATTATTGATGTCACTAATTGTCATAAACTTTGCAGAATACTTTACATCAAGTGAGGGCAAAATATTTATTATCCCACATACATTTGTTGGTGTCACAGTATCTCTGAAAGGTTTCAGACAAAACTCAACTTAAAAAGAGACAACATATGTCAGGAAGCAGCCATTCTATGACAAGCCACCAGGGGGCACAGCATGCATAAAAATAGCCTGTGTTTTACATATAATACATATGTATGTAAGTTGTTGCTCAATTGTTTTTACGTGGACTAGCAACAACCAATAAAAAAAATATATGTTTTTTGATGGAAAATGACACAAAAACAAATAGGGTCCAACTTATTCTTTTAATGTATCATAAAAAAATATGACCCAAAGCACAAAAGAAGGTCAAGTTTTGGACCCTAGGGGGTTGATTTATAGTTGCAGTAAAAACTGATGAGGTAATTAAAAGGAATTACACTTTAAAGTAAAAAAACAAAAAACATATTTATTTAATGTTATTTACTAGCATTGCATATGTGGTAACTACTGAGCATAACTTCAGTGTATATTATTGATATTGGGGATAACATGACAGAAGTGAACAACTACAACGGAAAACAGTCCAATAGCCTTTTGTTGTCATAGATGTAAAAAAAATAGACAAATGGAGTCTTAGAAACTACTGAATTTAACATGACGGAACTGAACATGCTCCCCCTTTCACTCAGTGTGCATTAGGATGGAGACCAATCCTAAACATGATAGAACCCCCACCAACAGGACCTATTCACATCCACAAATTAAATATATATGTGTTTCGTATTGGGGTGATTTAACAAAGAGTAGTTTATCAGTCCGTTTATCTGAAAGAAAGTACTGGGAAGAGATATAACAAAGGGTGGCATTCATTTTTGGTTTAGGTTCAAAAGGTTTAACACATCACTGACACAAGTACCACCAAATCCTGACACATGTTCACACCATCCATAACTATATATTTGTGTCCCCTCTGTAATTATAAGGAGCACCAGGGAAAGTTCAGTAAGCACCAGAGTCAATAGTCTATAGTGACACCAGTGCTCTGGTGTTAATTGGTTTGCACAGAAAAAATGTGTGATCAGGTACTGCATTCCAAATCAATTGAATTTACTCCATGACCAGTAGAATTGTCCACAACCGTAAGCCCTCCCTGTAAATTTTACCTGTAATTAGGGTATGGATAAAAGTTAAGGTTCATGTTGCATTGATAAAGATATGGAATAGGGTTTAGGGTCACATCTATTTTTCCTAAAATTGCAAAAACCTTGTTAAACTTGAGGGCTAAACACCTAATTTCATAAAAAAATATTAATGTTAATATATGTATATACAGATACATTAAAATATTTTTTATAAAATTAAAAAGGTTACTTTAACATTTATTGGATATAAAATAATGAAATGTATGCATGGTCATCTTTGTGCTGAAATGTTCTTATACACCTATAACAAAATACCTATCCAAACAAATCATACCACTGTGGAAAACCAACATAATACTGCTCCAATGGCATATCAGAAATCTCTTTATTTTTTATTTTAAGCTGTTCCTTAAGTAAACCTCAGTCAGATTGTTTTTATTGGAGTTGATATTCATTGTGGTTGAAGGGAGTGTAGACAAAATGATGTATGTACAAGGTGATGCCCTTTGATTATTTGCATGTCATTACAATGAATCAATAACTGTCCTGGATGTCTAGTATATGGTCTTTTGGAATTGTTTACTTGCAGAACTGTTATTTTATTCATTAGATGAATTTTCTGTGCATAGCATAAACAAGCAAATCCTGTACCACTGAAAAATACATTGTATTTTAAATATGTTTAATTATGCTGAGTCTATGACATGTTTAATTTTGTATGAGGAATCTAAATATGGAAACGGCATTTTAATTCATGTTTGCATATAGCATCTTAATTACACACGATTCATCTTCCATTTAAAATAATCAAGATTGAAAGGTTTTATTTATCTTTTGTTTGCTATTTATAATGGACATTTTATGAATGTTTTTGTATTCATGTTTATGGGTTTCTATGCTCAGCAGAGGAATTTTACTAAGCAATATTTTAATCTCTGTCCTACCTTTGCCTATATTTCCCTCAACCCACGACCTTCTTCTGTTTTATGCTTACTCGCACGCACTACACCAGCAAAGTTTTTGGCTCTGCTTCGATCCTCCAGCCTCACCATTTGCTCCCTCGACCCTATATTCGAACTCATGCTCTGTCTCCTTCTTTTGCTCTGTCCCTCACTAAAATATGCAATCATTCCCTCTCCTCTGGATTATTGCAGTCACTGTACAAGCACGCAACGATCACCCCGATTCTAAAAAAGCCCAACCTTGACCCTAACTCCGCATCCAACTACTGTCCTATCATGCTTTTGCATGCAAGATCCTTGAGAGAGTTGTATATGTTAGACTGACCAACATCCTTCAATACAACTCTCTGCTAGACCTGATTCAGTATGGATTATGCACTCATCACTCTGTTGAAACTACCCTGACCAGAGTGCCCAATTATTTAATTGCTGCTAAATTCAGTGGTTGCTACTCTTTCCTAATTCTCCTTGACATTTCTGCTGCTTTTGACACTGTTGAATATCAATAACTTCTTCTCATGCTCTGTAACCTTGGTCTATGAAAAACTGCACATTTCTGGTTTTCCTCCTACTTCTCCCAGCACTTTTTTATTTAAACTTTGTCTAACTTTTCCTCTCCTTTCCAACCCCTCTCTGTCAGAGTTCCTCAAGGTTCTGTCCTTGGTCCCCTATTGTTCTCGATCTATACTTCTTCCCTTGACAAACTCATTAGCTCTTTTGGCTTCCAATTTTATTTCTATGCAGATAACATGCACATTTATCTGTCCTCTCCTGAACGCTCACCGTCCCTCTTGATTTGTGTTTTTGACAGCCTTTTTGCTATTTCTAACTGGATGGCTGCTCATTTTCTTATACAGTCCAAAAACTATGCTTTTCATATTTTCTTGCTCAAGTGTTGCTACTCCTGTGTCTGTATCTAAGCACTGCCATTAGCTCTACCTCAAAGGCTCACTGCCTAGGTGTTCTTTCTGGGTCCAACCTCTCCTTCAACTCTCAAGTCCAGTCACTTCTATCTCAACAACAGATGCACGATCATCTTTCCATCTATCATCTGTCACCGAGATTACTGCAATCAGTGCTGTCTTTAGGATTCATATTTAAGGGGGGCACATGGTGAGTCAGGGACAAAAGTAGGGGGGCAGTTATAAAACATGTATGTATGTGTGTGTGTGTGTAAATACATATATATATATATAGATGCTCCGTTGGTCCCTCTGCAAACTGCAGATTCAGCCAGATAGGTAATGTGTCACCAGGGCCGGACTGGCCCACTGGATACCGGGGAAATTTCCCATGGGGCCGCAGCACCTGGGACCAGGCAGACAGCTGGTGCAGCCGCAATTAGGCTGCTGAAGGCTGGAGGGAGACCTGTGCTGTCTCTGTTTTGCTCCCCCACCCTCGCGCACTACTAAATGAAACTGGGGCCGGAATATGATGTCATATACCAGCCCCTGTCTTGTTAAGATGTGTGCTGGGTAGCAGAGCAGAGACAGCACAGTTCCCTATTCGCACCTACTATTGGCGCCTACTATTGGCGCAGCGAGACGCCCACCCTGCACGATCACCCAACCTGCTGCCCGCATCCATAATCCTCCAACTTGCCACCCACCTGAACGATCGCCCACTGGACCCCACAGATATCAATACAAGCAATAATGTGTGAATCAGTCTGTCAGTGTGAGTGTATGGGTCTGTCACGGTGTGTGTGTGTCTGTCATGGTGTGTGTGTGTGTCTGTCTGTCTGTCTTGGTGTGTGTGTCTATCTGTCATAGTGTGTCTATGTGTGTGTGTGTGTCTGTCTGTCATGGTGTGTGTGTCTGTCTGTCATGGTTGGTTTATCTGTCTGTGTCATGGTGTGTGTGTTTGTTTGTGTCATGGTGTGTGTGTGTGTCTCTTCATGATGTGTGTCTGTCAAATGGTGTGTGTATGTGTCATGGTGTGTGTGTGTGTTTCTGTCTATCAAGGTATATGTGTGTCATGGTGTGTGTGTGTCTGTCATGGTATATGTGCGTGTCATGGTGTGTGTGTGTCTGTCATGGTGTCTGTCATGGTGTATGTGTGTTTTTAGATTACTAGACCCTAGTGTTTTTTCTCACCTTTTTTTTTCCCCCACACCTCAACTGGCCCTGCCTCTATGGCTGCAATCATCAAGCTTGATGATATCAGCCAATCCAATGTTTTGCGAAAGGATCAGCTGCAAAATGATACACCAATCAGCATCTCCTCATAGTGATGCATTGAATCAATGTATCTCTATGGGGAATGTTCAGCCCCTCCATGCAGAACGTGGAGGCGCTGAATGTAGGTGCCTTACACTGTGCAGCACTGACACACGAAGCACCTCTAGTGACCGTCTGAGTGACTGTAACTTGAACTGTCACTAGGAAGCAATGTAAACACTGCCTTTTCTCTGAAAAGTCAGTGTTTACATTGAAAAGCCTGCAGGGACAGGCTATAATCACCAGAACCACTGCATTAAGCTGTGTGTGTGTGACTGCTTGTTAATGAGTTTGTGTGTGTGTGTGTGTGTGTGTGCCTACTTGTGAGTGAGCTTGTGTGTGTATGTGTGGCTGCTAGTAAGTGAGCTTGTGTGTGTATGTGTGTCATTGGTTATAGCTCTACTAATCAGTGCATACCGCTCATGAATTTTGTCAGATTGTTTTGGAACAGTTTGTTAAAGCCTGGTGTTTTCCACTGCATATATAACCAGATTCCTCTAAAGCAAGATTTTAGAAGCATATCATCATATCTGTTCCATTGTAGGTGTGGCATTGTGCCATTGACTCGTTCACAGGGAGAAGTAAAGGGTGGCCACAAAATATCTAAACCATGTTTATTAGAAACTTTTCTGTTGGGAGCATGTGTGTGTTAGTGACCTTTTCTGTATGGAGCATGTGTGTGTCAGTGAACTTGTCTGTAGTGAGCATTTGTGTGACAGTGAGCCTGCCTGTAGTGAGCTTGTGTGTGTCAGTGAGCTTGTCTGTAGGAAACATGTGTGTAACAGTGGGTTTTTCTGTAGTGAGCATGTGTGTGTGTGTGTGTGTGTGTGTGTGTGACAGTGAGCTTGTCTGTAGAAAGCGTGTGCATGTCAGAGTTGGTTTGTACTATGTTTGTGTGTATACCAATAAGCTGCTCTGTGTGTGTCAGTGAGATTGTCTGTCAGTGAGCCTATGTGTGTGCATCTGTGAGTTTGTGTTTTTATGTCAATAAGCTCATGTATATCAGTGAGTTTGTTTGTTTATGAGGCTGTGTATCAATAAGCTTGTGTGTGTCAGTGAGATTATCTGTGTCTGCATGTGAGTATGCTTACTGTATAATTAAACTTTTACTCTGAAAGGACCAATATTTTATATTAAAAAAATAAATATATATTTATGTTGTACATATATCTATATATCTATCTATATATTTATCTATATATATATATATCTATATATATATATATATATATGTATATATATATATATAAACATATATAAAACATATATACATATGTGTTTATATATTGCTGATCTTGAAAAAAGATACTGAGGGGTCAAAACGTTGATCGGGACAACTTATGAATAATATTTGAATGAACTACACGTTTGGATTAAGACCTATGAGTGCACCTCCCTGCTTCAATTTAAATATATAGAAAAATATATATACAACATATATAAATATGTGTTTATATATTACTCAATCATCTGGGGTAGCAAGACATAGCCTTACATATTACATGTGACAATAGATTGCGCAATCTTGAATAGTATACGTGGAACTGTACTCACTCACACAAATCTGAGCACTGTGCTTGCTGAGCCGGAATCAAACACCAGATTTCCAAACATCAGTAAAATAATAGGGGTCCAGGCACTCCTTGGTTCAAGACAGGCACTTTCTTGAGAACCACAACAGCAATGTTTTGACCCCAAAAGGTCTTTGTTAAGCTCAGATTTTGTCAAGAATAGATTTTTTTTCCAGGGCTGCTTTGTATCCCCAGTTCGGCCCTGTGTGTCACAACATAGATGTAGCCACACTGTCCGTTCAGCTCGCAACTACCCCATGTACTGAAGAATCCATGTCTTTTCTGCTCCCTCTTCCAACCATGTCTCTGTTCCCCTCCGTTTCATGTCTTTTCATCACCCTTCTTCCATGTCGTGGCTTTAGTGTGTGTATTGAATACATTGTGTGCGTGTGTGTATGGTGGATGCAGTGTCTGTGTTTGTGTAGGGAATGCAGTGTGTGTAGTGTATCTAGTTTTTGTGTGGTGGATGCAGTGTGTCTAGTGGATGCAGTGTCTGTGTAGTTGATCAACAAATAATGTGCACTATGCAATACAAGGTGCTTAAAGATATTTGTAATACCCCCAAAAAATGAAATTCATATTAACAGGTACAACACACGTGTAAGTACCTCTAACATAACACATAATTATGAAAAAATGTGGAGTGCACTGAGTGGAGAAATAAACCACTTCAAGTAAACCCAGTGGTGCGCTAAAATCTAATTGACATTAAAACTTACCCTCTACAGGGATAATTATGTACTAGGGAAAATAGCTGAAACAAAATAAATTGACAAAATACGATGTAGTATATAAGTATGATCGGCTTGGTTAAATATCTATATATAACTCACTCACATAGCATAGAGCCTTGGTTGCTCAGATCACACTCACAAGGGTATGTTAGGTAATACCAAACCTCTTCTGTGTATGGACCTAGGTGTTCAGAAAAAAAGATAAAAATGAAGCAAATGCTACTAGTGTATTATCTTCAGTACACATATAATTATAAAAATTGTGCAAATTTCTGCTCACCTTTTGGAGAGCCAAATATTCAGAGCTCTCAGTATACTATGCACTGTGCCTTTAAGAGGGCACTACTCTTCTTTTAAAAGCAGAAATATATAGGAACTCACTAGACTTGTTAAATTGCTAGTATACATTATTAAACATAAATAATAAAATAAAACTGATAACTGATAAAAAAAAACAAGCTAGATACCAGTAAAATACTGTCCCAAAAATTCATCCTGATCATTCGAGACGCATTTCACCTTGTTCTAAGGCTTTCTCAATCGGGTTCCTGCTTTCAAAACGCTTCCTGTGTTTATGCCTGAAGGCTGCTGTCTGATATATCGTCTTATTCATTTCTCGTCCAATCTCCAATCACCAATGTGGGGAGGTGTTTTGCTGCACAGCGGTAGGTCATCCTCCTAACTTCCACGTCAATCAAATCCTCCCTTTTTGATGCAGGCAGAAATGCCGTTGCTTAACGGCCAGTGTCTATGTTACATATTGGCAACTTGTCTGGTAATGGACCTTAATCTCGGTAATAAAAGTTCATTACATAAAAAATACATAGCAAAGGAGAGGCATCAGTAAAAATATCATATACAAAAACAAAGATAAAGCTTACAGCAGCAGTAGCTTAGTATCCAACAGCTCATAATACATAGTAAAAACAAAGAGAACGTTACCTGCGCTCTGGCCTAAATCCCTATTTACATTTAAACAAAATGGAGGCTCTTTAGTTTTATTCCAATGGCCATTTGAATATATAAGCTCACCTGCCACTTCAAGGCAAGCCTCAAAAGGTGAGTCCTACACTAGCCATTAGATATGCTGATATCAGCCATCAGTAAAAATATGTTTTGTCATTAGATATAAACAATTACTTGTGACCCTACTTGTATTAGTGTAATAATAGCTTAAAATATCATTAAAATATTATTATAACGGCAATATCATAATAAAAATAAATAATACATTAATTAATAAGTATTAATGATAATTATGGCCATTACATCTAATACAAGAAAGCCAAAAGTATAATTTATAGCTTCCCCAACACTTTAAAAGCAAGTGTATTAAATATATTAAATATTAACCATTATACTAATAATAATATTTTTTTAAAAATCCATAAAATAATAGCAGCTACAAAAAAGTGGCACATTTAAAAAATCACTATTTAAACTATGTGGTTGTAAGGTGTTTAGATTAAAGATCCACTTAATCTTGGATTGTCCCATCTTTCTAATTATATTTTCGTCCCTCCAGTTAATTTAAACTTTTTGAATTCCTAAAAATTGCAATTTGTCTAGTGCATGCAGTGTTGGATAAGTGAGTGTTGGATAAGTGCTGGGAGGTGAGCAGTTGAAAAATATAATATAGTAACAGTATAAATGTGGTCTTTCCTTCCATTTTCTCCTATACTTTTCTTCCTTGCCTCCCCCATCTTCTCGTCTCTCATTCTGATTTAATCATTCCCCATTATTAAAACTTGTTTTCAACTTTAGATTATATTAAACAAAATCTGCTAATGAAGCAGTTTTGGTGTATAGAACATGCCTCTGAAGTTTTCCTCCTCCATTCTCTGCCATTTAGGACTTTAGTTTCTCTTTATGCAGCCCTAGCAACACTTTCCCTGGCTGTGACTAACACAGCCTGCATGAAAACAAAATGGTTTCATTTTCAACCAGATGTAATTTACTATAAAAGTTTTTATCTTCTGCTATGCAAATTAAACTTTATCTGCATACAGGAGGCTCCTGTGGGGTCTGGCAAGCTATTAACAGAGCAGGAGATAGGAAATTCTTTATTAAACAGAATTTGCAATAAAGGAAGTATAAACATTAGATGACTCTTTACAGGAAGTGTTTAGGAAGACTGTGCAAGTCACATGCGGGGAGGTGTGGCTAGGACTGCAAGAACAAAGTGATTTAACTCTTTAATGGCAGATAATTTCCAGAGAATGAGAATGCATAGTCATGATCTATACACCAAATCTGCCCCATTAAGCTAAAGTCATTTAAGCAATTTCACATAATTATTGTAATATACATTACAAACAGATTAAAAAAGAAATCAAAATGGAGTCCACTATACCAGCATATGGTATACTATTATGGCATGGTATTAAATGTTATGCTATTATAAAGGACTATGCAGGTCCAAGTTTATAAATTTTAGATTGTACATATCCTAGCTTTTATGACCAGAGCATGTGAGTTTACTTGTGCATAATGCAGATAGCTTACCTATATACAGCTGTCTCCATATTTAATCTCAGCATTGAACTGATTGCTTGGTTTCATAATAAGAAATATCAGTCAGTCAGTGTTACACTTAGACGGCCAAATATGTTTTAACAGCTTTGTATAGATAGACTTCCAACAGTGGTTCTACACCTACTTTGGCAGGGATTGATGCTATGTATATGGCACTAATATGGTGATCCATTCTCATGTTATAAAATCAGTTCAGTGACCCATTTTTAAATTTGAATTACAATTCATTATAGAACACAATTTTATTACATTTATCCAAGTGTGAAAACTGTCTAATTTTTACTGGGGGACATCAATGATGCAGTAAACCGGGGCCTTGGGCCTGACAATTAGTATGTTTCTTTCTGACCAGTTGAGGCAGACTGATAACGCATGGAGCCCAAATTCTAGTCAGGACACAGGGCTTAGGAACCACTGATGTAGACAGTATAAATCCATGTTTTCTTTGTAAATGCACTGAATAAGTAGCAGACTGTTGCTAAGGTAATCCAACTGAATGTGGGCTGAAATATAAGACACAGTGGAAGCAGTTTGCATATTGTCAAAGGGCACAGTATGGGAGAATTATCTATCTCAGAGATGCTGCATTTAAATAAGGAGTTTTAATATACTAGAAAATGTGTACAATTGAAATGTTTGTGGGCACGTTTTAATTCATTACCATAAAATTTAGTGTCTGGAAAAATCATTAATTTATAAAGGAAATAGTTATTTTTAGAGTTTTACTCTAGGAGGTTAGTTAAACAAAAAAGGTAATTATAATATTTTGGAATGCAGTTCATATCAAATGTATTGCAATATTAATGATCAAAATAGGTAGCCAAACATTTCTATTTCTGACTTCTGGGGTTTACTTGCTCAATTAAATTCAATGTTACTGAACTGATTTTGGTGAAAAAAAAAACTCTGTCCCTACTGACTTTATTTTTAAAATGTTTAATTCCATAGATGAATAATTTTCATTCTCTGTGAGTTCGGCCACTTCCTTTGACTGCCAATCAACCAGACGGGATATTATCTCCTGGCTGGCAATATTTATCAGTTTTGTGTACTTGTTGTATGTGGTATCAGCTAAGCCAGTAATAAAACCAAAAAGTTACCTCCTTAAGGAGAAAATGTGTTACTCCAAAAGTGCTTAAAGTATAAAATAATTTAAATAGAAGCTCTACAAACATCTGTGGAATAACTCACCTTTTGCAGAGTCTAAACTCATGGCTCTAAGGTTTACAGGTTTAGTGCCACTTTAGACTGAAGAAGCTCAGAAGGGAGTGAAATGTGTTTTGGCTTATACAGGATTTCTTTAATACAAGAATGATTTTTTTTTATTTTACTGTTTTAATTCTTTTTTTTGCTAACAAATTTACTAGTATTTTTAAGAGTCCTCTGAAGCCTCAGGAATCTTCACTGGGTAAGTGCCACAATGCCCGTAGAGCAACGAGTTTAGGCTCTGTAAAAAAATGAGTTCAATACCTATTTTATACTTTTATTGGTTTTCTATTGGATATACCAGACATTGGATGCCTTTCTCTATGTTATTTCTACCAAAGGGAACATCTTAATGAAGTAGTGGTGTGATGCTGCCCTAAGAGCAAAACAATCCTATATGCGTAGACAATACATATAGGTTCCATTGCATGTGAGTGACCTGATCTCAAAAAAGATACATTGCTTATATTTAATTACCATCTGCATTATAGTTTGTTATTTTCAGTTTTTTATGTACTAGATATATACTTCTGTACATAGCAACATATACGTGGGGTAAGTTACTCCTATCATTTTTACTTCCAGTGCTCCACCATAGGTATAGGTGTATATTTTACCACTAGAAGTTGTGAGTACCTTGAATAGGCCATCTATGGCTGGGTGACATAGGTACACAGTTTTAAAGCTCTTGATGCCTTCCTGGCTCTTAGGCAATCTAACTCTTTAACTCCCTTCTAACGAAAAACATAAATCAGTTCTAGTTTTTCACCTCTTTCTTTCTTAGGTGTAGTAGGCACCTTATCCAAACCAGTTCACACAAGATTAGTTACTTTACAAACTGGGCAATGAATGGAAAATTCTTCAACATCAGTTGGCTGAACAATGTCAAGTGAGCTACTACAGTTGTTGGTAAATTATGCTGCCTGTTACATGGTAATGCCATAAACTGTGGAAGGGAGGACTGAAGTCTGAATATGTCAGTGGAGACATGTATAATTGAATTGAACACCAGTGAATTGACCACTATATTCACCTCCACTACGGGTTAATTTGTTTCTTTACCTGATACCTATAGTATTGAGATTAGTAGCAGCCAGTAGTAGTAGTAGTCTGTCCATATCTCTGGAGACATATATGGAAATATACAATATATAATTATTCCCCAACTACTAAGCATATTAAATATAGGATTGCGAATCCAAATTTCCATTGGATTTGGTGCCACAACTAACTCATCATCTAGATGAACTTTGTCCTGTGTCAATACTTTAAAAACATAAGCCCTTACATAACATCCACCGTATGTTGGTTTTTAGTTGTGATCTTGAACCTTGGATTGTTTCCTTTATGTTAAAGTTTGGAAAAGAACACAGAAAGAGCCAACCATATAGCAAAGTCTGCATAACTGTAGGGTACCCTTACCCATGGATGTTAGCACACTAGTTTACCTAAATACACAGGAATTAAATGGAAAAAAGTCACATATTGTGTACTACCAAAAATGAACAATTTAACAATTTTAAATAAATTAAATGAAAATACATGGCTTTTATGTACTGACAACATACTTTATATATGATGACATTACATACATGTGAAAAACTCTGGTCTCTGGTGTGTTGTGGTGCTCTGAGTATTCAAGAAGTGCCAGGGGACCATGAGGGAGCTCTTAAAGTAATCTGCATGTGATAAATGTGCAGACCAGAAAACTCTCTTGATCTATTGACGGGACACAGGGACAATCAAGGAGTAACTTGGTAACTGGCTAAGCTACCTTAGGGGTACTTTGACTCTACTGATTGGTAGTTCGAGAATACCACATACATTTTATGATAATCTGCTTTCTTAAATGCATAAACAAGTAGAGTTGTAAACCTATGTCTGATTCTGACCTGCTTTAGTAAAATTTTAATTAATTCTCTTTTGCTAATTTCTGCTTTCCTGCTTTCGTGTTCTCCATAAGTTAAAGTCTGTACAGCAATGTTTTACAGACTGTCATTGGGTTGATAAACCATAAAATCAATAAAATTAGTCATCTATTCATCCATCTATTAATGGGCCAAACAGATCAATTTCTGACACTCAAAACAGGTCATAATATAAATGTCATCTAGGTCCCATGGTTCACTTGCTTGATGTCTCAATAAAGAAGACAAAGTGCCGTATATGATGTGTCACATAAAGCAGATTGTTAATAAATTCTGTAATATACATTTTAAGTAATAATTTAGGTTTTGAATATTTAATGTGATCTCTGTTCTTTTACAAATCTAAAATTGTGCCTTGTGTGTATAATTTATCTTTCAAATCACTATGATTTGCTGTTTAGTACATTTTATATTCCTTCATTTTCATTCATTTTAAAAAACACCACATATTGGGAATTCTATGTACAATATTTAAAATAACGTTCAAAAAGTAGCACCTGCTTCTATGCATCTGGTCAGCATTTTTGCGGGACCATAACCTCACATTACCTACATTGGCTCATTGGAACCTCTAGATTCACAGTCACATTATTCTTGTCTCCATAGTTCTTTCATGTGGATGGTTAATTTCTTGTGTGAAAATGTGGGTAGTATTTTTGCAGTCTGGTAAAATGTGAATGTGGGATCAGTACTGATGCAAGAATTTTTGACTACACAGGTGCACATGCATTTTGCCCCCTTCTCCTGTAAATAACACATATATAACATTTACACAGATGTGTCACATAGAAACATAAATATTATTTATATATCTTTGTAGCTTCCAGTTCAAGGGTTTGGAGGCTGCATGTAGGAGTGTGTGTGTACAGAGTGGATTGTTTGTGTTGTAGTATATGTGTAAAAATGTGCTGTAATGCTTATGATGTAGAATATGTGGACAGGGGCAGTATATAGTGTGTGTTCCTAGAGGTGTATGTATAGAAGATGTATTATGCATGTGTGCAGGGGGTGGGAGGGGGAGGTGTGCATGAAGGGACTGCATGAAGGCAGTGGAGGAGCAATTGATATTTTATTTATATATATATATATATATATATATATATATATATAATTATTATTATTCCAAAACCATAAGTTCTCTTCTATTCTTTTCTATACCTTGGGCCAGGGAGGAGATCCATGGTGGTCAAATATCCACTGCCAGTGGTTCTGGTCTGCATCCTGACAGCACTAGGTGTACTGGACTGGTGAGGGAGATCCTTCATGTCCACACTGGTCCATGAAAGGTTAGAGCTCCCTCTGTATGGGCCACAGTCTACAAACAAAGTTAGCTCTGGTCCTGTGTTGGATACATTACAGTGGATTGTAAGCATGTGAATGTGGGGTGCATTTCAATGATGGTACTGTGAGTGTTTGAAATGAATTTTAAAATCAAATTTGATGTCCTTACAATTCTCACTATTGTAAGTGCATAAAAGTGAGGTGCATTTCTGTATGCAAATGTGTTGTGTATTTTTGTGGAACACCAGTGCATGAATGTGAGGTGTGCAGATTAATTATGTGAGGTGGGGTATTTTTATATTAAGCCTCAGTAGTGAATAGGGTGTTTTCTGTGGAATGCCATAGGTTGAATGTGAGGTGCATTTTTGTAAAGTGTCAGTACATGACTACTAAAACATAGGCTCACTAATAAAGAAGATACTGTAGACATGCATAGAACAATTCATTTGTTAACCTACAGCTATCGTAGAGAGGTCTGTGAGAAAGGCTCAGACATTTAGATGTATATGGAAGTAAGGACAATGACTCCCAAGAGGCAGAGCAAATGAAGGAAGGAGCAGTTTGATAACCATAGAGCAAGCTATTAAACATTATACTGGGACTTTGATTGTAGGTGGTAGTGAGCAGTATTACTTCCCAGATCAGTCCTCTTAGACTAGCCGATGCCCAACCAAGGTACCCTGTTTGCAGGCTCAGAGGGAAAGTCAGAGAGTTCCTCCACCTGTACTCCTTCACATTGCACTGCATTGGCATGGCACACGCCATCAGCTCTCTGCTCACAGCAGGTGTTATCAAGCTGAAGTGGCGTCCAGCCATGCTCCTGTACTGGTACCTCCTGGGTCTGCTTGTGTGGATAAAAATAGAAAGGTGAACAGCGCTAAAAATCAGAAAATATACATACGTTTTGTAGAAATACTGGCCAGCAGAGTAACTTAAAAAAAAAGGAGAAACAAAAATACAAATAATGGTACAGTATGTATGAACGATATAATTCCACAAGAACAAAGGTGTTATATTCACACTCACACTTTGAGGAGCTATATCAGCTCGGTGTTAAGAGCCTGGACGGAATAATCCCCGTCTATGGATTTCTTGAGGTTCAAGACCGTTGGTGAATTTATAGGTGTAAATATTCGTTACATGAAAAACAAGAGTAAAATACACCACATGGTATAGTACGTAAATATAAAATATTTTGAAAAAAAAAAAGTGGATGATCCTACTTACATATACTAGAGCAACGACCTGCTCTAGTTTGGAGAATTTCAGGTGGAATAATCCCCACCTTGGGATATAGTGGACCCAGGTATAGCAGCAAAGCAGTATTGGTTAGGAAGGAGGACAAAAAGAATGACTGGATAGTTTAAAAAATATATATACTTTAATACAATAAGTAAAAAGTGAATAATAAACTATAAAACCAGTCCTGTATAAAAGTCCAAAATTCTTCCTCACTTGACGCGTTTCGCCGAAGCTTTCTCAAAAGTGAATGCTTGCTGCTTGGGGTCCTTGAGATTATATACCCTCTCTGATGATGAAAATCGATTCTGCTGTGCATATTTCCTCATTTCCTGTTTTCAGCAAGATAGCATAGACAGGAAGTTCTCCGGACACCATCTTGGATGTGGGCAATTTGTGGGAAAGTTCAAAAATAGGAATCAAAGGTATACAATAACATAATAACATATAGAATCAGATAAAAACGTGAATAATTACAGATGTGGGCACACATAGAGTATATGATAGTAGAAATCAATTCTACTATGTGTATTTCCTCATTTCCTGTTTTCAGCAAGATGGCATAGACAGGAAGTTCTCCGGACGCCATCTTGGATATGGGCAATTTGTGGAAAGTTCAAAAATAGGAATCAAAAGTATACAATAACATAATAACATATTGAATCAGCTAATAACTTGAATAATTACAGAAATGGATACACATAGAGCATATAAGTGACATAAAAGATATAATAATTAATTACTTGATAGTGTCATAAACAAAACTGTTCCGGCCGCCATTTTAGATATGGGCTAGTGATAGAAATTGAGCTCAAAGAATGCCATATCGAAAAAGGACATACTTTAAATGGAAAGGGGACATGTATATACAGCTAGGGGAAATATAAATAGTATAAAAACACAGTAGTATCTGCATAAAAGGGTGTAAAAGAATTTATAAACACCCATTAAAAATGGGTTATAGAACGAGTAATAAAAAATAAATTTTACAAAATGAATTATAAAAAATGAACCAAATCGAATTCTATATTAAGTCCATTTGGGTGGAGGGTATCTAAACGATAGACCCACTCCATTTCTAACTTGCCTATGTTTCTGGTGGTGTCGCCCCCTCTCCAATGTGGTTTATATTTAGCAATACCCAAAAATTTTAATAGGCTGCGGGTCTTTGTTGTGCTGTAAAAAGTGCGCAGATACAGAGTGATTTTTGTAGCCTTTTTCAATATTACGGCAGTGTTCACTAATTCTTACTTTCAATGGCCTTATTGTTCTGCCGACGTATTGTAGTCCACATGGACACTCTAACATGTAGATTACGTTATTACTATTACACGTTAAAATTTCATTAATGTTAAAGAGCTTTTTGTTTCTGTTAGACTTAAACTCTGATGTGCATTTTTCCATTTTGTGTGTTTTTCTACATGATATGCACGTGTTACATCTAAAAAAACCTTTATTGATAGTTAAAAAATTGTTTTTTTGTATGTTTTGATTTCTAGTGAAATTATTTGTAAGTTGTAATTTTAGATTAGGTGCACCTCTATATATTATAATGGGTTTATCTGGTAGGGCTTTACTTAGTATTGGATCCTCTTTAAGTAAATGCCAATTTTTGTTAATAATCTTTTTGATAGGTTTGCTTTTATTATTATAGTCAAATATCAAAGGAAGGGTGAATCTATTGGTTTGAGGGTCCTTAGGTGGTTTTTGGAGCTGCTTGTGTGGAGGCTAGGTTGTGTGAATTCAGGAGGACGTCTCCCCCTTCTGATCCGTCTCCAGCTTATCATCCCTGGAGGTTACACTGGGTATCTGTGGCTGGGGTCTCCCTGCTCCGGTTTCCATGTTAAGCCTCTCCTCCAAGCGTTGCCAAAATTCAGCACACAGTTGGTCGAAGCGGACCAGGATTTCACTTGGAGGCCGCATGTGTTCAGTTCTTCCCAATATTAAGCAGTTGCAGTATGAATTAGTCAATAATATTGGTTTATAAGCACTAAATCTTGGTTAAGTTTAGGAGCTCCCTCAATCTGAGTCCTGCTTACTTGGCAGTCAGGCCCCGCCCCCAAACTACCCAAACACAAGTTTTTTTTAATGCTTCTTTAAGTAAAATAGTAATAAGTAATATAACATGAACTTTTTTTAAAATTCATGTGACTAACATTTTGTGAGTTCCTATTTAATTGCGATTTTTTTATACTTTTACACTTATTTTCACAGTCAAAATCTAAAACATTTTTAGGGTGATTTACTAAAGTGAAAATTGTGAGGAATTCAAAGTGAGTTTTAAGAGGAAGGCCAACTTAAGTGATTTCAACAATGCTTCCAGTTCAGCTATTTTCATCTAAAATTTTAAATTCACTTTGAATTCTCTTTGAATCCCCACCAAATTTTCACTTTAGTAAATAATCCTATTTGTCTTAAAATAACAAGAACAATAGAACTGAATGTGGTGCTTATGTAACTTAATCAAATGTTTCACACATGGAAGAATTAACACACATAGTGAAAAGTATGCTGTAAACATTTCCAGACTTAGAAAGGGCATCTGTAGGCAAAAGCCCTTAGCAGCAACCAAGGCTCTTCATTAATTAACAAGGGGAGATAATTATGTCTCTAAAGCTAATAAACATGACAGGAAAAACCCAAGGTGACTTCTTTATAACTTTAGTAATGATTTTTAAACCAGATGTATTTAATCACTGACCTGGTAACTTTGAAAATAACTTGTTTACAACATAGTGAAGGAAAGTTGTAAGTGAATTAAGTTTTCTGAAGTTCCAGGATGTTTTAAAAGTGTCTGCAAGTTTAATACTTCTCTTAAATAAACAGTTTCTAAATCAGAAGCCTTGCTTCCTTTCTACCAGTATAACATAGAGTACAGTGTGAGTCTCCGCCAAGGGAATTGTAGCTAGGGCTGCATAAACAAAGACACTTAACTGATACATTTCAGACAACTGAGCAGTGAGACTGCAGGGATGTAATCTAGACCAGTGGTGCCCAAAAGGTAGATTTCCAGGTGTTGTAGACCTACAACTCCGATGATGCAGTGCATGTCTTTAGAATGGCAAAGCACCATGAAAGCTATAGTTTTAAAACATCTGGGGATCTGCCTTTTGGGCATCCCTGATCTAGACACCAAAACTACTTATTTAAGCTAATTTTTTGGGGAGCTTAGTGTCAATTTAAGAAGTTAAAGGTCTGATTCCCAAGATACTCTTTTGCTGAGACTATTTACCCTAAATAAATATAAAAACAAGTCCTTCATACCTACTTACTCGAACAGTAGGCTTGATCTTTGGTTAGATAATGAGAATGGAGAAAGTAATTAGTTTATAGTACTTAGAAAACTTCTGTCTGTAGTGGTCCATATAACCCAATTGGTAAAATTTTCTAAATCTCATATAAAGCAAGATCATGTTCCATGAGCCATAGATTGTACTTGAAATTGTACTGATTCATGCATAAGCGCAGTAATGTTGGACTACACTGATTGGGTAATGTACCTTCAGCAGTTTATTTATCTCAGCGTCTATTCCCAGCATTATTGCATAGATACATGCTTTTATAGTACTACCCGTATTGTCAGAGTTACTTGTTCAAGTGAGAATTGATGGGGATTCAAATTAAATTCAAAGTGAATTTAAAATTTAAGGCCAAATTAGCTGAACTGGAAGGATAGTTGCCATGGAGAAATTTTCCAATTCAGCTATTTTGGCCTTAAGTTTGAAATGAAGTTTAAAATCAAATTTGATGTCCTTACTATTCTCACTTTAGTGCATAATACTGTACATGTGTTTGTATTGCTATGGCATCAACCATTCCCCTTCGTTTAATGCTCTTTACATAATATACAATTTATGCTGTTTTAAAATGGTTATCAGTATCATCCTTTGAAAGTTAATGGCCATCTCTTTTGGTGTAGCTGAAAAAGTGTGTCGGAACAACATCATTAATACATCTCTTTGGCTGCAACATGTGCTTAATCCTCATTAAACTGATATCAGTATTTAGTACAGATACTCTACATGAGTTATTAAAACTACTGAAGCTTGAAGGATTCATAGTAAATTATTTTGTCGTTACACCTAATGTGTTTTAACGGATACTATGAATCAATTTTGGGTCAAAGATGTATTTGTTGCATGCTTTCATTATTAGTTACCGAAATGCCCAAATTTTACATATAAAAAATTATTTTATTTGCTTTTGATAGTTTGTTTCCCTGGCTCATATTGTACAATATACATAATGTAAGTTATACAGACAGAAGTATAAATGTGTATTTTCTAAATTTAGCACTGGTTTTATGTAAACTAGATGTATGCCCAAGGAAAAAAAATAGTTCAATATAATTTTGATTAATACATTTTTGAATTTTGGTTAATTTCAAATTGTAAAAAATATTGATGAAACCGAATTTCATCCAAATATATATAATAATTTTTTTTAAAATCCCTATGGGGAATTAATGAAGGTGGAATTCACAAATTTACAAAGTTACCAATTTAGGGAGTTATCTACTAAACTGCTGAAAGAATGTGAATAAGAAAAGCCCTTAATTTTACTATTTTAACTGTTTAGTAGACAGCTAACATCTTGGCTTTTTTATATGGGATTGCCATATTTAAATATAGCAAATTAGACATTATCTACTAAACAGCTTAAATAGGAACATTTAGAAAAGTTATTTCTATTTGTTTAGTAGATATATCCCTGATTTGCTGACCTTATGTAGGATTGCCATATTAAGAATACCAAATAATGGAGCTATTTACTAAACAGATGAAAGATCAAAATGAAGAAAACCCCTTGTCTTAATGTTACTCGTTCATTTGTTAAGAAGATAACTCTAATTTGCTATCTTTATAAAAAACGAATCCCAAATTCTTTGAATTCTTTCAAATTGACGAATTTGAAAAAAAAAATATGACTTGTAATGAAAGTAACTATGTCTAATATAACCCATCCATTAGCATTCCATTGTAGCAGCACAGGATAAAAATTCATGCAACTTAACTGTAATACTTAACATATATCTCTTTACTATTTCTAACTTGTCAAACTACATTATTTAAAACACAAACCCAAAGCCTTTTAACATTTTTAAAATGTAGGCTATAGAAGAGTATAATTACTATGCCTCCCTTAAAGAAATATCCTAAGCACCAAAAGAACTTTTGCGTAACTTCTTAAGGACAGAGGCAATTAACCAAGTTGTGAACCAAAATCTAGACTTTGTGATATGTGTTTGTTTCACTTTAATTGAATGGTTTCTCTTTAAGTGACCCTTATCTATTATATCAGTGGTTCCTAAACCAGTCCACATGACAAACAATCCAAGATTTATGTATTTTCTTTTTTTTATTCCAATGAAGATACTGACAAAACCTGGACTATTGGTGGAACCTGAGGACTGGTTTGGGAACCACTGTATTATATACTGCTGTTTAAAGGACAGAAAGGGCTTTTTTTAAATGCCATATAAGTATACCTAAAAATATAAAAAATGTTGAAAATTGTGAAAATTGTAAAAACAATATTTGTTTTACATTTTTTTGCTTGTAATGCATTTTACACATTATACTAACACCAGGAAGGGCTTAACAAAGTCATTTTGGTGTATAAATCATATCCATGAAATCTCCATGGCTCATAATTAAAATTAATAAAATTAGGAAACATAAAAAAATGGGATAATTTTAGTTTGTAGATGGGGTTTATCCCACAATTTTTTCAATATTTTAGGGGAAATTAAAACATTGATCAGATTTTGAAATACAAAAAAAGAAAGGTGTAGCACTGTTACTTTAGTAAAATTATTTTAATTAAGTGCAGTGCTCTAAAGGTACAGCAGCAATGTTTTCATCATGTCTCATCTTTATCTAGCCAACAAAAGAAATACATAATTTGCTTCAATATTCTCTAAATATCCAGAAAGAAAAAATAGCTTTCTAAGAATATAGGGTTTATGAAATACATGATACATGATGCTTGTTTATGTATTTTAAGGAGGACAATAGATGCATTTTGTAGTATTACTCTTAGCAATATAATAATAATAATAATAATAATAATAATAATAATAAAACTGTACTTTGCTTATAATAGTTATTACTACTTTTAAGTACCCTCCCTTCCAACCCCACACATAGGTTTCATGCTACAATCTTTCAGTGAAATAAGACAGATATCTCAGTACCCACATTCCAAACCTTCTATTAATATAGGATTCTTAACTATTAATAAATAGTCAACAACTTTTTTTTATAATTTACCTTCTAATTTTATGAAACTATTATAAATGTTATTGTTACATGTGTCAATCTTATTATTTTTTTATTTTTTTTGCAGATCCTTATGTGAAAGTGAATCTTTATCATGCTAAGAAACGGATTTCCAAAAAGAAAACTCATGTCAAGAAATGCACTCCAAACGCTGTATTTAATGAACTCTTTGTGTTTGATATACCATGCGAAGGTCTAGAAGACATAAGTGTTGAGTTTCTTGTGATGGATTCAGACAGGGGCTCCAGAAATGAGATTATTGGGCGGTTAATTCTTGGAGCTTCTGCAGATGGAACAGGTGGAGAGCACTGGAAGGAGATCTGTGAACATCCTCGGAGACAAATTGCCAAATGGCACATGCTTTGTGATGGTTAGAATCCTAGACATGATTGGACTTTAAATATATCCCCAAATCCTATTTCTTTGCATTGTAATATAAGACGCTTCAAAATACAATTTTTTGTTATTTCTTTTCTTTTGTGAACAATGATTTAGGAAAAAAGTTGGAAAAACTCAAAACAAAGATAACATAATGATGTTACCTTTATATCTGTATATGAGGAGTGCACAGTGCATATATACTGTGTATAATCAATCTCACTAAATGCAGTGGAATACATTAAACTATGTTAATACTGTTACAAAGCTCTCCAAATGTCATGGGCAATGACTTTGTTATTGTTTATAACATTGAGTGTTCCAATGAAGCTTTAATCTGTCATGTAAACCCACTTTCATAACACTGAAAACATATTCCAAAAAATTGGGAACAACTTGATTTACTTGCATCTCATGCTTTGTTGTTCTTCTTGTGAAAACAATCTGCTGTTTGAAATTGTGATTCTATTAAATTAAACATTTAAGCAAATGCAGAAGAAAAAAACGCAAAGTTATGAAAGGTCTCTGAGAACAGTATTGTGTTCAGTTACTAATATGTCTAAAGCATGCTTGTATGTGTGTAAGGAGTGAATCCACTGGACATTGAAAGTGAGATTCAGGTCATGAACTCAGGTTCTGAAAAACTCCATCTTGAAGGAATTGAGGTTATATATGCAGAACATCTGCTAAAATTCTAAATTAAAATCCCAAGCCATTCTCAGAACAGATAAGAATATTCCAGATTAGAAACAAAATCTTAAATTCGGGATTGAAGTAGGGTAATGGAATGGTAGTAGACTTTTAGGTACAAGTTAAAGATCAGGTTGCAACTTAGAAATCAGAAACATAGCTCAAAATAAGGTATGTAATTTCAATGTAAACAAAAAAATTAAATTGACTGTTAAAATCAGAAAATAACTGCTAATGGATGATAACTATAGAGTCAATTTCAATATTTTGCCATTTTTACAATAAAGTCAACTTTAGTCACAATATTCAATGATACACAGATTGAATTGGAAGGACATCATTATAAAAAGTCAGCAAAAAGTTTGAACATGTTTTTTTCCACATAAATTACTATACCTATGTGGGTACATGTGTAATAACACATGGAAAATTGTCCAAAAAGCATTGCATATTCACTACTTCATTATAATTCTCTTGGCCCATAAATTGATGAGGGACATTGTGAAGTAAAGATGAAATACAAAAAAGGCCTTCGTTCTTGCAAAAAAAATTCAAGATTCTAAAAAATACTATTAACTGTATTTGAATATGTTTATCTTGTGATGTGAGATGGTATTGATATATGGTATATAAATGACTCATACATTCGGATATTTATGAGACCCAAATCTTTCAGAATTTCTTGAAGACGATTTGTTTTCTGGTCACGAAAAACAATTTTATACCTTTGTGAAAATACAGATTAAGTAATAGAAGACTTTGGAAAGAGACATGAAAATTAAATTTGTTATATATAAAAAAATCAACGCAGTGGTATTAAGAGGCTTCCTATTTGAAATATTTTCTCATGAAAAGTCATTACTTGCTTACAGCTATAACAAACTATATCAGTTTGGAAGGGAAAGTGATATCGAAGAAGCTATATGCCTGAATATATTAATTTAGAAGAAGAAAGCGAGCAAGACCAGGTGATCAGGATCTTTCATTCAATTATGGATAAACTGAGCAAGAACAAGACAAGTGTCCAATCTGGCATCCTATATGACCTTAATTAAGTAGTTTTCTAAATATACTGTGAAAATATGGGACACAACAGATGCATTACCAATCCTTTTTGAACACAAAATTGTTTAACATTCTTAGTGGTTGTGGTTTTGACTGCCTGCATTGCAGTCTATAAGTGTACTGGTGTCTATAGAATATAGGTTTAAGAGACTCTTCTGAAGACCTTCACATAAACAAGTGTTTAATGTTTCTACTCTGTGAAGATTCTAAAACAAGTGACAAATGAATTCACAGTTATGGGCTGACATGTTTTTTAAGCAAG